TGCTGCTGCAGCTGTACTTGCTGCTGTTGCATAGTGACTTGCATCTGTTGGATCTGCTGTTGATGCGCGTGCAGTTGCCGTTCCGTCGTTTGTATCCGCTTCTGCAAGTCGGAGGCTTCGCGCTCGGCGGTGTCCGCCCGCTGCCGCTCCGTCTCGCATAGCTTCCGCCACTGTTCGAGCTGAGCCGCGTCGAGCTGGGTCGTCTCGGCGCCGCGCGATGCCAGCTGCTTCTGCAGCTCTTGCACCCGCTTCTCCGCCTGCTCGGCGCGCTGTCGCTCCTTCTGCTGCGTCTGCTGCAAGTTTTGTACCTGTTGCTGTAGCCGTTGTACCTCACGCATCTGTGCATCAAGCGCCTCCTTGGCAGCGCGATCGGGTGTCTGCGCGTGGGCTCGCTGTTGAAGACGACGGGCCTCTTCGCGCTGACGTTCAAGCTCGGCCTCGTTCGCGCTAAGCTCCTGCTGGAAGTTGACCAGCATTTCTTGCGATTTCTCCAGCTGTATAACGAGTTGATCGCGTTCCACCTGCAATTGCTTCGCATCCGCCTCCAACTTCTCCTTCAACTTCTCCGAGTGCTTCTCCCGATTCTCCAAAATTGCTGCCATCTTATCGCGTTCGCGTTGCGCCATTTGCAGCTCGTACTGCATCCGGGCAAGTTCCTCGTTGCCGGCGAGCTGTTGCTGTTGCTGCTGCTGTTGCTGTTGCTGCTGCACGCGGCGCAGCTCCTGGCGCAGCGCGTCGCGTTCGTCCCGCAGCAACTGCACATCCGCAGCGAGACGCTCAAGCTCCTTCTTACTGGCCTCGGTGGCTTCCTGATACTTGGCGGTCTGCAAATGCGCCTTCTCGAGTTCCTTCGCGAGCCTGCCGGCCTCAAGCTCAACCTGATCGCGCGCCACGATGGCCTTGTCCAGGCTGGCTCGTAAACGCTCTACCTCGATACTCGCGCTCTCGGATCTCGTCTTACCCTCGGTCTGCATCAGTCGCTCCAGCCGAACGATCTCGACGCGCAGTTTCTCGTTGTCCGCTTCGAGAGCGTCAGCCCGCATCTTCACCTTGTCGTGCCGATCGCGTATCTTCTCGGCCTCGATCCGCGCACGCTCGATCTCCGAGCGATTGCGTTCCTGCTGCGCTGTAGCCTTGCCGGTCTCATCGCGCGCCCGCTCGAGTTGAAGCTGCGCCTCATGCAGCTTCGCCTCGAGCTCGACGTGGTTCGACTGCGTTCTCTTCAGCTCAGCCTCGCGGCCTTCCAACCGCTCGCGTAGCTTGTCCACCTCCTGCTGTAGCCTACTACCCTCGCTTTGCCATTTCTCCTGCTCGTACTGGTATTTACCTCGCACGCCTTCCGCACGCTCCAGATCGGCGCGCAGCCTCGAGGCGTCCTGCTCGGCCTTCCGCGCGCGCTCAAGCTCCGCCAGCGCCTTCTCCAGACGGTCACGTAGTCGCTCCACTTCTAGCTTCGCCCACTCGTGCTCCTCCTTCTGTCGTTCCTGGCTCTCCTGGTACTTGCCGAAGCGTGCTGCATACCTCTCGACCTCCTCGCGCGCGCTCTCCGCCTCAGAGCGCAGCCGTTCCGCCTCGCCCTGTGCCTTCCTCACCTCCGCCTGCTGACGATCGTGCTTCTCGTACATCTTCTCGATCTCGAGCTGCATACGCGCGAGCTCCTCCTGCGTCTTCTCCGTTGCCGCCTGCGCCTTGTTGAGCTGTGAGTGCGCACGCTCCAACTCGAAGCTGATGCGTTCGTTGTCGGCCACCAGCTTCTCGCGCTCGTTCTGCAGTCGTCGCAGCTCGATCTGCGACTTCTCGTAGCGCTCGCGCACCATCTCTAAATCGACGCTCAACCGATC